AGAGTGTTAAAAATAAGTGTGGCAAAATATTGAATTTTTGGAAAAGTCACAGTGCATTTTTGCGTAGAAAACCAAGACAAATATGTCATGACTTTTCCGACAACCCAATAACAAAAGTGGTGGATCTGGGTAAAGGGTATATGTATGTTCTTTGCATCATTCTTGTAATTTTGATGTAGGTTTGAAGTTATTTCAAAATAAGGTGTTGCCTGCCCTCTTTCTTATTAGTCCTTCTAGATACAGGACCCAGAATCCCTCACCTGTAACCCTGGCATTCAGCTACTCCATTGACCTAAGTGAGTCATTCAGGTACAATGAGAGTTCTTAAAATACATTAATACATACAGCAAAAAATTCATCAGGTTTTGATTCGAATCTATCTCCTGGGGATGAGGAAACTCATCTAAATTACTGATCATGGGTCACATTTAAATGTTACCTCTTCAATCTCCTTAATTATGTTGTTTTAGAAGGGCAGGAAGAAGACAGAGACTAATATACTTCCTCTCAAATGACTTGCCATATTACTGAAGTCCACGGGGTTACATTTTTTAGAGGTATTGTTATCCAAGAGCAACCTACTTAGTAAGACAGAAACTAAATAGGCATATTGACTTACATTCTTCATTTAACTGCAAGAAGGACAAGTGAAACTCTCCATACGTAGTTAGTGAACTTGACTGAGGTTGTGACATTCAGTGATGAACTCAGAACAGCTTCACAAAGTCACAGTACAAATTAGCAACCTGTTCACACACATTGCTTAAACACGTTGGGAAAACACAACATGACTTCTCCAACAGAAGATGGGTCAATACTCATATTTCCCAACAATGCCCATGAAAACACCTAGGCTTTTGATTTAAACCAGTGAACCAGGCAAAGTTATCAGCAGCACAACGGAGTGACTAATGTGCCCTGGATTCTTGCCCTCTCTATCACTCACTCCATGACCTTGGACAAGCATACGATGTGCCTGGACCCAGTCTCCTCCCTTGTAACTAGGGATAACAAAAGCACTTGCTGTGTGTGATTGTTATGAGGATGAAATCTGATAAAGCAGGTAAGGCACTTAACCCAGCACATGGCATGAAATACCTAACAAGTGTTACTGCAATAACAACGGTGACGATGATGATGAAACTGAGGACGTCTGCAGACTCTTGGGAAGCAGCTCCAGGAGGACGCTCTAGTCTCTTGCCTGGACATCGTTTATAAATAACTACACACAGGGTGGGGATTGGCCCGAATCCAGTGAGCCGCATTGAAGCAGCTTTGGGAAGACAGCAACTAGCCATACAGTTTTACCTTATTGCAGTTTATGTCTTATTCGACAGGCACCAACTGCCCCCCAACACATGGGATACTCAGGGCCATCTCAGTGAGTCCCTGGGGGAACTACCTCCTCCTGGTCATAGTTATTGCTCAAAATGAAATAAGCACAGACTCAGCTGGCCGTCACTTTCCAAAATCAATTCCTCCAGCATTCAGCAAAGCATAAAAGCAAAGCTTTCAACCAAACTAGAAGAACTCTCTTTATATTTTTACTGGATTGTCAGAAGTCATGACGTAGTTTTGCATAGAAAAACAGCCCAATTGATAGAATATGAGACTTCAAAAGTTCATGGAAAATAGATCGTCTGTTTATTTTGGTGCAAAAAAATTTTTTTGAACTCCATGTACAGCTTTTTCATAATTGGAATTTTCCATAAACTTTCTGAAGGCCTCACATGTACACTATTTGGTTTAAAATATATAGTTGCCAAGACTATGGTGGGCATAAAATAAGCAGACAGAAATTTACACAGTCATTATCGTCTAACAAAGAGGTTAAGAAGATCATATCCCCATGCACTAAATTCCTTAAATGACTATTAAGGCCCACTCAGAGGACATTCAATCGTCATTCACAGAAGCTAATGATCCAGCACTCACATGCCAATGATTAGAGGCCACCATGGGAGACCATATTTATATTAATTGTTAAAGACACAGGATCCCAAAGGTCAGGAATAATCTCTGGACCAGGAATGTTCCCTTCCTTATTTCTAACAGATTCTAAGTTTATTAGAGATAAATAAAATTTTTAAAAATAGAAGATCCACATGGGCATATTGCACCTGTGTATACCAAATGAATACATCACCCCACGTATCCCTGATGATAAACAAAGCCACATAGAAAGGCTGAGATGCCCAGAGCTGCAAAGAACTGTGAAGATCAGCAAAGCTGCCTGCACCTTGCATGGCCAACTCCTCTCCACCTCCAGCTTCCTTGCCAAATGGTTTTTCAGCCTCCATTTCTCAGAGCATTTGCGATCTCCTAGAGTTGTACATTCTGTCTGGGCATAGAAAGTCCTTCCTTTGCCAAGACATTTGCCTTGGTGTCTCCTCATTGTCAAACAGGACTTCCTTTTTTGTTTTAGTTTGCTATAGAGCATGTGTGCTTGTCAGAGAGACAGAGACGCAGAGAAAGAGAGAGGGAAAGTAAGAAATCACCCCTCAAGGGGATGGCTATGCCACAATCCGTTCTCCTCCATTCTTTTCTTGGGATTTCGGGCACACACGCACATACACACGCCTGCATGATTTTCAAGCTGCTAGATCTGAGACCTGAACAGTGCTGTAGACCATGTGGGATCCAGCTGCCTTAACCTGTAGGCCACCTGCTGGACTGAAACTACTTTTTTCACAGGACATTAGAATATCAGAAAACAATGAGGGCATCTCTGTTTTCTCACCTCTTTCTCAAACTGCCTTTAGCTATTTTTTTGTACTGAGGGAGTGCGACACAGGTTGAGCTTTTGATTCTAAGAAACTGTAAGTTGTACCCACAGAACGATTCTGGGTGGTCACTACCTTTCCCCTTTCTATAGGCTTCCATTTTATTGAGTAGCATGGTGAGAGCATAACAACACATTTGGATAAAGTTAATACTGAAGGATGCCTATACCCTTAACTTACCTGAGCTCAATTCCTAATGTGCTTCCTGGTAGGCAGTTTCTTAGCATCGGGAAAAAAATCTACAGGAAAAGAGTATGAATGGGCACTGCCCTTGTGGAGACACTGTGAGACAGGGTGAGAAGTTCTGTGATAAGGCAGTTGGGAACTTCAATCCTACTTCAACCAGTTGGCTGCAATTTGGATTTTGGACAAATCCTCAGCTTCCACCTCTGTATGTATGTGTGGGTAATGCCTACAACATCTTAAGGACTGTTTTAGGAAACAATGAGAATGCACCTAACACATGGTAGGACTCATTTTTCTTTCCCTGTTTTTAATGGAAACCACATTTTGTGTGACAGTTCTTTAAAAAGAAAGCATTTCTAAAATATATGGGATGATCTGATATTGTGTAATCTGCTTCCTTTAGGTTTTAAACCTTACAGAATGTCCATGATTTAAAAGTATTTTTTAGTAGTTGGCATAATGACTATGTCACTGGACTCCCATGTAGTCAACCACTGTTCGAGTCTCAGACCTGGTGGCTTAAGCTCATGCCAGGCATGTGTGCGTGTGTGCCCAAGATCCTGAGAGGAGAATGGAGGAGAAGGGATTGCAGTGTGGCCATACCCCCTGGGGGGTGATTTCTTGCTTTCTATCTCTTTGTTTCTCTCTGTCTCTCTGGCAAGCACACACGCCCTATAACAAAAACCTCTCAAAAAAAAAAAAAAAAAAAAAAGAAAAGAAAAAAGAAAAGAAAAGAAAAAAATGTTAAGCCCATACTCTATCAAAACTGATGAAGATACATCGGGTAATTATTGGGTTGCTGGAAAAGTCATATGCATTCTTTCATATAAAAACAGAAAAACACATCTTGACTTTTCTGACAACCCAATACTAACGGTAC